TTGGCTTTGTTATAGTTAATGGCTCTGTCATTAGATGAGATCAAGGGTTTCAACCTAAGGGATCTTTCTGAAGTCATAATGCCAACTCACTAATGTGGATACTTTGAGCAGTGTTTCTATAATTGTTACCTTTTTTTTGGTATGGGATTTGAACTCAGGGCTTTGCATTTGCTAGGCAGGAGCACTACCACCCATGTAAGCTGCACCTTTATACTCTGATTATTTTAGAGATAGGGTCTCACTTTTTGCCCATGCCTATCTGGACCAAGATCCTCCTATTATGCTTCTGTGTAGCTGGATGACAGGTGCAGGCCACTGCATCCAGCTATTTTTCTGTTCAGCAGGTGTCTCCCAATCTCCTTCCCTTTTCTCCCACTGGCTTGGAACTGAAATCCTCAGATCTCAGCCTCTCCAGTATACACCACCACACCCAGCTATTGGTTGAAAAGGGATCTCATAAACTTTTTCCTGAGCTCACCTCAAACCACAATGTTCCTGATCTCTTCTCCTCTGGAGTAGCTAGGATTATAGAAGTGAGTCACTGGCACCCTCCAATTATTATCTCTTGAAATAACCTCAATCATTTGTAGTTATGATTACAAATATCTGGCTCCTAAGTCAAACTGATCTGCCTCAATGAGTCTTTCACATTTATTAAAAATGAAGACATTGTAGTGTCAGGTGTGGTGATAGACACCCATAATCCCAGCACTTGGGAGGCTGAGGCAGGAGGATCAAGAGTGTAAGGCCAGCCTGGGCTACATAGTATAGCCCTGTCTCAACAACAACAGCAAAAATAATACTGTACTTTAATAAAAATTTTAATTTTTTTCTAAAGTACTTAGCTCTTGTAGTTTTTAATTGTGTTTAAGAGCTCTAGAAATACCATATTATGACTAAGATATTAAGCCAAAACTTAGCTGTTGTTGAAAAATGACAAAAATATCCCAGTTTGTTTTAAATAAATTTTTCATGCCTCCAATATACAAATACTGTGGATTGGAAAAATGGAAAGTATTTGTGAGTGTAATAAGCCACTTTGAAAGTGGTAGAATTAAACATCACTTTGCTACGTATGTGGTGTGACATTTCCATTTTGTTCCAAGATATTTTATTTTTGTGTGACTCTGGAGTTTGTAAACATGCCATAATATTTGGTGATTACATAATGATGATTTCATGGCTTTTGCTTAGTAGAAAGGTGGCTAGACAGAGCAGCAAAATCAATTTCTTTTTCATCTTTGTGGGATGAGATAAAAGGAAATTGAATGCAAAATCTGCATTAAGATCATATTAGAATGATAACTCAGCAATCTGTCATACGTGAAGTGAAACCCAGGTGCAACCAAGTGTAGTTATTGTGCTCTGTTACAGCCAGTAGTTAAATTAAAAAAAAAAAGCCCTATGTTTAACCTTTGCCTTGTACTGTTACACCCAGTGTTCCACATGCATGTGGCCTGATCCTGTCTCTAACTGTCTCCACTTGCCAAAGGTACTCAGAGGCAGGACTGTCCCTAGGCAAAATCCTGAAGTAGCTGAAACTTGTATTCATCCCCTACCTTTTGCAATGACAATCTCACTTTAGTCTCTCAACCTCCCTGTCCCCAGATACCTCCAGTTGCTAATTGCTCTGGATTTACCCTGTGTCTTTCAGGGTCTTATGCTGTCTTAATTTTTGTCCAATCCCTCTGTAATCAGACCATTTCTCTGCTCAAAAATATTCAGTGGTTCCCCAAGAGGAGCAGAGCAATTGAATCTTCCCTCCTTACCTTCCAGTCTCGTTTCCCACTCCCCTCATGTGTTCTACTATCAGTGGATCACCCACCTTGACATTTTCATTTGTACAATTTTTCATTCTATTCCTTTTGCCTGAACTGGTTGTCACTCCTCATCTCCATTTGTAGAAATCTTACTCATCTTCCAAAGCTTGCCTCAAAGTTACCTCACATGCTGAGCCTCTCTCTCCTCTAAGCCTCAACCTTACCATCCATAGGGCACTTAACCCTTGTTGCTTCGTATGGTGTTTATGTATGTGTCTTTTCTCCAGGCACTGTGCTGGTGCTTTACAAATGCAATCTCATTTAAATTTCACAGCAATCCAATGAAGTAGATATTACACCACTTTAACAGTTGAGGAAACTGAGGCACAAATAGGTTAAATAGTTTGCCCAAGGTCACACTACTAGAAAGACAGAGGTAGGAGTTGACCCCATCCTAACTCTAAAACAAACGTTCTTTCCATCTGCTTAGTCATTTTTCCTAATTTGAGAGGTAAGATAAGACTTAAGGTAGAGGAAGAAGACTTTGGTTTTCTAACTAAAATACATATTTATCAAAGAGATAGGGTTTATTACTAACTACTATATTTTTAACTAGTACTGATCAGCTATGAGGAATTTTAGTAAAATGTGAGGAAAAAAATTCTTACCTGAAGTTGTGAGAACAAATAAACATGACATAGGAAGAGACTGTTCAAGAAAGCTTCTAATTTCAGAAGGACTAGCTGGTGCTGGTCAGTCTTTGAGCACTGTTGGAAACAAGCACAGGGAAAATAAAATAAAATGTGGAATTGGCTAAGCAAGCCTTTCTGTGAGCCCCCAGGATTTAGGGGAGGCTGATAATATGATTACCATCCAAAATGGCTCATGAACTAACAATATCTCTGTTGGATATGAAGCCCATTTTTTCATTGTTTCTTGTGTAATGTCTTGGATGACTAGTGGGAGAGAAGCTTAGTGTTCCTAGGTGGAGAATCTCATCCCCAAATGGCAGCTCCATTCCCATGGGCGCTCCAGGATGTAGGATTTTGGAGCTTCATCCATGCTCTGGATAATTCCATTTTGGGGAGTGTTTAGCCTAGGGGCCAGGCTGCCACCAGTCACAGGGCACAGTTGCATCCCTGGAGAGAGCTGAGACTTTAAATCTCTGTTAAAGATCAATACTTTTATGCCTCTTCCCAAGCACAAAGCAAAAAAATCTTTCCTTCTGTTTTATTCTCTTCTCATTTCCCTGTCCCCAGCTTGTCATATTATCACTTGCCTGTTTCTTTAACATGTCTGAGTTCCTTAAGTTTAAAGAACTCATGCGGTTATCATTAGGCATGTGTTCCCAGGGTCCCTCAGTTGACTTCTGACAGTCATCCATTGCAATTTCGTTTGCCAACTCCATGTCAATATATGCATTCTCTCTCGGTGCCAGTTCCATTCATCTATGGCTGTATACGTCTGTTTTTCATACCAATCTTAATAATAACACAAATATTATTGCTTAAGGAAATTAATCTAAGAAATCTAAGCTTGAATGCAGCAGGTCATACCATACTTCAGGCTTGTATTAACAACGTAAGAATTTTCATTTCAATTCCAGGAGCACGACAAGAAAATCCCCTTCAACCATACTAGAAAAAGAAAAATACTGAAACATGAAAACTCTTTTGCTTCTTTAAATTCTTTTGTGTTTTTCCTTATATTCTGCAAAAGCCCTCAAAGCTCATTTACTTTTATTTTCTAACTTTTTATTTTTAAGTAGTTGCAGATTTACTGTAAAAAATTAGAGGGAGGTCTTATATATACTTACTCAGTTTCTTACAAATGGTTATATCTTCTGTAATTATAGTACATTTATCAAAGCCAGGAAATTTATGTTGAAATAATTCACTTTAAAGTTTCAAATCAGTAAATAGTTACCCCAGTGATAACCTGAGCAGTTTTAAATTCCATTATACATTTTGTTCCTACTCACAAGCACTAACCCTGCTGACAGGGTCTTGGTCAATGTCATAGTGTTAACAGTGCTGGTGCAGTCTGTGGTCAGAAGACTTCCAAATTCTTTGTCCCACGTGGAAGATTCCATGGCTGGAAACCTGGTTATAAATGCAGTTTATTAAAAGTTAGGGGAGAGAAATACAAAGGGGAGCATGGTGGGGCCCAGGTGGAGTCTGGAAGCCAAGAGAGCATGCTTCTGCTCTTCAAGTGCTTTTAAAACCTGAGATAACTTATAGGAAGGGGAGAACAAGGTGATTCCCATCCAATAATCAATGAATGAAGAGGGGCATGGGTGGTTCCTGGCCAGGTAAGAGTGGTTCCTGAGGCAAAGCATGGTTAATCTAAGATGTAACATTTTTCTCTGAGTCCCAAACTTTCCCTAATTTTAGCCTACCTCAGTAACAGAGAAGCTCACATGTATGGGTGAAAATCTGCCTCTGCCTCCAGATGTGTGACTTTGAGCAAGCTACTTGACCTTTCTCAGCTTCAGTGTCTTCATCTATAAAATGGAGGAAATATTTCTCCTGCGTACTTCACAGGGTTGTTTAAGGCTAAATGTGATGATGTGCTTTAAGGGATGAGGTATGCTGTGAGTCAGTTTATGTTCTTTTCTGAAAACACTACAGTTACAGAAGTGTACTTTTTTGGAGGTGATCTCATTCTTAGAAGCAGAATAAAACTATCTCCTCATTAGCCACGAGGTGAGGTAGAATTCCCATCATATGCAGATGATCTCTCCTTTTTACCACTCTTCGGAGGACAGGTACTGGCCACCTGTGGGATAAGCACTCTGACTCATTACCTGCATTCCGCTGAGCATGGGGTCTATTTTAAAACAAATGCTCCTTAATGCTTCTTCTATCAAGTTGACTGCATTTTAAGTAGCTTTTATTTTTATCCTACCTACAGGATTCTTACTTTTTCATGCCATGAAATGCACAATAGCTGCTCTTGACAATAGTGAGAAGTTAGAAGGGAACCCAATTAGATAGGGAATGGTTTGTAAAATAGAAGTGGAAGTCATCCAATCTGCATTGTTCTGTGGTCTGTCTGGATACCTTATATAAACTCCCAACTCAATGGTGGATTCTGGTTTGTGAATAGAAAAAACTGTTAGTTTTGGCAGCAAGCATGGAGAAATATGTAGGAGAAAATAAACCTGATCATGGAACTGAATGCTTTGGGTGCCACAATAAAAATGTTGAGATCTGTTTTCTCCTCTCCTCCCATATACAGGCTGGCATGGCTCTGACCTATGACCCCACAGCCGCTATACAGAATGGGTAAGTAGACCACACATTCTCTGTTTTCATTGGTAAGAGATCTTTCAGATCTGAATCAATAGCAAAGGAAAATGTTCGAATATGTTTGCTTTTGTGTAACGTCTTTAAAGCAAACTTTAAACATTTCTCACCATTATAACTTTTTTCTCCTCATATGGGATTTGGATCTCTATTTTCACAATTCCTCTGCTCACACAACCCGGGTCTGTTCTCCCCTCTTCTCTCATTCTCCTCACCCCCATGCCTTTTGAAATGAGACAGTAGAGCTGGGTCTGAGAGACAACACAGAAAAAGTGACTGGAGAATTAACTCCGGGTCTAGGACAGGAGTGATATCCTGCTAATCTTGGTGGAATCCAGCTTTCTGTAATTCCTAGAGTTAATTTCTGCATGAGTAATCCTTTCCTTTCTCCTAGTAGTCAGTAGTGGTAATGGACAGAAGTCAGCTTAGAAACTCAGGTGATTGTATCTTCTATCTTCATTTCAACTGATGTCTGAAAATTGGTAGACTCTTATTTAGCTTTCCCTCCTCTGAAAAATATGACTGACATAGTCTGGCTTCTCTAAAATTCTGTGAATTCTAAATCTCTTCAATTGAAAATTTCTTCTCACTCTCTTCTTATTCCTTTGCTTTGGATGTCTTACAGCTGACAGTAAGTTTCTACTGGCTTCTTGTTGGCTTTGTTTTCAATCTTTTATGTTGGATTTCTTCTTGGCTTTTAGTTGTCTGCCTCTCAGTCTCATGGAAGGTCTCATTGAAGATCAATATAGAGGGTAAAAATGAGTTAAGTTCTATTTTGCTATTTGGTCAGTGACTGCTAATGAAAATCTATGGAATTATGGAAGAGTTTAAATAGCAATTTTTTATTGTTGCAGTTACCTACCCTTCCAGTCATTTATTCAGGCATTCAACAAACACCCATTGAGTCTGAGAGGCACAGTGCTGTATCAGTGTAGGATTTGTAATTGTCACAGTGTATACCCCCAGTACAACAATAATAAAAATAAATTAAAAAAAATAAGTGTAGGTGACAAGACCTTTTCTCTTAAGAAGGTTACAATCTATACTTCTGTAAAGGATGACCACTGGGAGTAGATGCAGGTAGAAGTCTAGTCCTCTGTCATTTGATTGATTAAAACTTCCCTCTAGGAATAAAGTGTAAGGACATCCTTTCATTTATCCAATAAGCATTTAGTTATTTCAAACAAAGTACTGTAGACTTGGTGAGTAAAAGAAGTAAAAAGATAGAGAAGAGAGCCCTCTAGAATCATATGAAATTGTTGGAGATGAAATAGTTAACTCAAAAGGTACAAAGTACGGCATTGTGTGCCGAATGATAGTAACAGGACATCGGTGTCATCATGGAAGGAATGGCATTTATTGAGCACACACTATCTACCAAGAACTTTGTTTTGTGAATTTAAAGGGCCATGGAGTCAGATGAATACATTTGATAAGAGAGTCAAATGAACACATGTGATTATGACTAGAACCCTACTTTTAAAAATTTATACTCACCAAGGAAAACAGAAAAAATAGTTGACTAAATACCTGTATAGATATTATATTATTGTATTAACACTAACTAGATTCAAGTGTTAACATTTGATATTTCACATACATGTGTGTATGTAGGTCTTATGGATATATGTGTCTACCTGTCTATAATATATGTCTGTATATCTATTTATAAAAAGCACCTGCTTCCCATGAAGATAGAAAGAAAATAACTTATTTGATACATAATTATATAATTAATCATTTAGTTGAAATTATGCTAGTCACTATTTAGATAAATGGAAGTTTTTTGCTGGACCATATCAAAGTAGAGTTTATTTTTATTAGCACACTTACATCGTATAAAGGCAGTTCACTGTGAAGTTTCCATGTGTGCGTACAATGTGCTGCGATCATGTTCACCCCATAACTCCTTCTAGCCTCCTCTTTCCTCACCTCTCCCCTCCATTTCCTTTTACAATTTTAATGACTTCCATATCCTATTTTCTCATCATATTTTCCTTTTCTCCTCCTCTCTGTCTGTTTCTCCCAAGCAGTCCTCTCAGACTGTTTTTAGGTTCGGATTCCACATATGCATGTGATACTTACTTCAGTTAACATGCTCATTTCTAGTTCTATTCATTTTTTTTCTGGAAAAACCATAATTTCACTCTTTTTTGTGACTAAATAATGCTCCATTATATATACATATATGTGTATATATATATATGTCATATTTTCTTTATCCATTTGTTCATTGATTGACACCTAGGCTGATTCCATAGCTTGGCAATTGTGAATAGTGTTGAAATAAACATAGCTGTGCACATATCTCTATTGCAATGCTAACTTAGATTCTTTTGGATATATGCCCAAGTATAGCAGGATCATATGGTGGTTCTATTTTCAGTTTTTTGAGGCACCTCCACACTGATTTCTATAGTGACTGGACTAATTTACATTCCTTCCAATAGTGTATGAGAGTTCCTATCCCCATATGGCTTCTTGTATCCTCACCAGCATTTGTTATTGCTTGTTTTCTTGATGATAGCCATTCTGACTAGAATAAAATGCAATCTCAGTGTAGTTTTGATTTGCATTTCCTTTATTGTAAGTTATCTCTTCACTCTGGTAGTTGTTTCCTTTTCTGTGCAGAAGCCTTTAATTTGATATAATCTCATTTGCCAAATATTGCTCTTATGTCCTGAGCCATTGAAGCCCAAGTCATAAAAGGCATTGATTATACCTGTATCTTCAAGTGTTTTCTGAGGTTTTCCTGTAGTAGTTTCAAACTTTCAAGTCTTACGTTTAGTCTTTGATGCATTTTGAATTGGTGTTTGTACAATGTGAGATATAGGGATCTACCTTCAGTCTTCTACACGTGGATATCCAGTTTTCCTAGTGATACTTGCTGAAGAGGCTGTCTTGTCTTCAGTGTATGTTCTTGACACCTTTGTCAAGGCTGTAGCTGTACAAGCTTATTTCTGGGTCCTCTGTAATTTTCTATTACGTTGATCCTTGTGCCCGTTCTGTGCCAGCACCATGCTGTTTTTGTTACGTGCTACTGTGTCAAACTTGTTCTTTTCAAAGAACCACCTCTTTGCTTCACTGATGTTTTATATTATTCTTTTAGTCTTTGTTTCATTAATTTTATGCTGTGATATGTATTATTTCTCTCTGCTTTGAGTTTGCCATGTTCTTGTTTCTCTAAGTGCTTGAGGTGCTTCACTGGGTTATTTATTTGAGTCTCTGACTTTTTAAATGTAGGCATTCATAGCTCTAAACTTTCCTCTTAGCACCACCTTTGCTGTGTCCCAAAGGTTCTTGTAAACTGTGCTTTCATTTTCACTTGGTTGTAGGAATTTTTCGTTTCCCACTCCAGACTTCTCCAATGACCCCCTGATCACTCAAAAGTGTGTTGTTCAATCTCCATGTGTTCACATAGGGCGTTTTGTCATCAATTTCTAATTTTGTTATGATCTGTTAAGATTCAAGAGATTATTTTGATGGTTTTGTTAATACTCACTTAATGTCTGAAAATGTAATCTAATTTGGAGGAAGTTCTATGGGTTCTGGGGAAGAATGTATATTTTGTACCCATTGGGTGGAATACTCTGTAGATGTCTATTAAGTTCTTCTGATACACAGTGCAGTTTGTCTCTGAGATGTCTTTGTTGATTTGTCTGGATGACCTATTTATTGATGAGAGTAAGATGTTAAACTCACCCCTAATATTGTAACAGGATCTATCTGTCCCATTATGTCCAATAGTGTTTGTTTTATGAAACTTTGTGCACTGATGTTTGGTGAATATATATTTGCAATCATTATATTTTCTTGATGGATTGTTCCCTCAATTAATATGTTCTGAACTTCTTTATCTCTTCTGACTAATTCTGGCCTAGAGTCTGCACTGTCAGATATGACTATAGCTAGTCCTGCCTTCCACTTCCACTTGTTTAGTACATCGTTTCCCATCGTTTTACTATTAGTCTGTGTATATCTTTGCCTATGAGATGTGTTTCTTATGGACAACAAATAGTTGGATTTTGTTTTTTATTACAGTCAGTCAATAAAAGTCAAGTTTGTAGGATTAAGATGATTTACATGTAGGGTTATTATTGAAAATATGTTCTGTTTCTTGTGCTTTTTGCTGGCATTTTCCAGGTTAATTTCAGTACTGTTTGTTTTTCTTTCACCTTTATTCATTTTAGGATTTTGCTGGTTTGCTGAGTTTAACATATTTGCTTTTTTTCCAATTCTTTTGTTCTTTCATGAGCTTTCATTTTGTGACTGTCTTTCTTCTTCCTTTGTGTGTAATCTTCCTTTAAATACCTTCAGGTATGCTGGCCTAAGGATCATGAATTGATTTAACATGCTTATATTGGAAGGTCTTTGTTTATTCATCAGTTTTTGAATGATAATTTTGATATGGTAATCTGGATTGTTAGTTATTTATTTTCAGTGCTTTAAATATATCAGTCCACATTTCTCTGGTTTTTAGGATTTCTGCCGAGAGACATGAGGTAATTCTGCTATGTGCCTTTGTAAGTCATTGGTGTTTTTCTCCTGCAGCTTTCAATATCCTTTCTTTGTTCTTTAGTTTTAGCATTTTAACTATAATATAGAGGTTCTTTTATGGTCATGTCTGTTTGGGATTCTCAATGCCTCCTGAACTTGTATGTCCATATCTTTCTCATATTTGAAAAGTTTTCTGCTATAATTTCATTGAATAGTTTTTCTATGCCTTTGTTTCAATCTCAGCTCCTTCGTCTACCCCATGGATTCTTACATGTTGTCTCTTGATTTCATCTCAGAACTCTTGAAGATTGTGGTCTTGTTTATTTGTTACTTCTCTTTTGGAGGGAGTCAAAGTCTCACTATTTATCCCATGCTGAAGTAATGATTCTCCTGCCTCAGCCTCCCAACTGCTGGAATTTGACAGGCTTGTGCCACCAGGCCCAGTTCTCTCCCCCAACACTTTGTTTGGAGTATTGGGGTTT